GTAACTACCGTCTACACCCGCCCTGCTGAATGATACTGTCGCCTTACTCGAATGAGCACTGAACATGACTCGCACTACTGCCATGACAACTAGTAAAGTAACCTACCGCCCCGACTGCCCGCCTGACGAACTAAAGGCACTTACCTGCGAAACGTCAATGTGTTATCCGAGTGACCATGTTGTCGCAGAGTGCCCAAGACAAACTTGCGCTTAATCGACGGCACAGGTGCATAGGAGAGAAGCTAATGGCCCATTTTAACAAAAAATGGGAGACCAAGCTGCATCATATTTCCGAATCAGGTAACATCAGTCGCTCCTTCTCCTTTTGAAAATTTGTTGAGAAGATCAAAAATCGGAGACTTGCACTACTACTGCTTCTTTGTGAAGGTAATATAGCGGCGAGAGTGAAAACAAAGCTATACTTTTAGCTAATCTCTTTGCTATTCAAAATATGCCGGTTGCCCACGTAACTTCCAATGATGCGCTCTCCCAGGTGATTACCCCTTCCATATTTCCACGAACCACTTGAGCTAGTTAATATTGGCGAGTTTCAAGAGATTTTCGAAAGCGCTCCCCAAACGAAAAGCGCCCGACCTCGATGGCATCATTTATGAGATGCTGAAGAAAATGCTGTTAACAGGGATGCATAACCTATACCCCCTAGTAAAAGCTGCGATGGTCCTTGGCGCCTTTCCGATCCGATAGAAGATGGCGACCTTTGTGGTGCTGCCAGAGACACTTAAACCGGAATAAGCAAATAGCAAGTACTGACTCATCAGCCTCCCGTCAGCGGACGGCAAAGAGGGTGAGGTCGTTGAGCTCGAAGCATCTTTCCGAACTTTCAATTTGAATTTCGGCAAGGGCACTCAACGACCCAGCAGCTCCTCCACTTAACTGAGTGGACCACTGGCGCTTTAACTTTAAGAAGGCACGCTGTCTCCCCTGGTATTGAAGAAGTATTTGATCAAATTTGGCATGAAAGTCTGCCGCACATACTGCTTCCGTTATCCGTTCTTCATGGTCTTTACCAAGTGCTGAAGTCATATCTAAATGGCTGCGTCTTCAGCGTGCACGTGGGAGATACACAGCTGCCGCTACGATCTCTGGCAGTAGGGGTCTCTAAGGGGTCACTTCTTTCGCCCCTTGCATATGCAATTTATATGAGCGACGCGCCCTTATTATCAAATCCACACAAAGAATCGCTCTCTACGCAGATGGTACTGCCATCTACTCATCGTCAAGGTCTCCCGCCTTGCTATGCAAGCATTTAAAGCGGTTCCTTGACGCCCTAGCTGGCTGGTGCCGTAGTTGGGAGTTTCCAAAATGCGATGAAGAGCAATGCGCTTTTAATTACTAAGAAACGCGTTCCCCTTGTTGGTGCCCATAACCTTTTAGGGGGTGAAAATTCCGTGGTGTTTTCAAGCAAAATACTTGGTAGTAATCATTGACAACAAACTTTCCTGGCAGCAGCACGTGGACTATCTAATGGCGAAGGTCAAGGCAGCAACTAAAGCGCTTTACCCTTTACCATGCGGTAAGAGCAAGCTTTCTCTGGGAAACGGCAATTATATATGTCTTACCTTCAGCTAATAATAACATACACGTCTGATGCCTTGGCCTTTGACTCACTGCAATAGCGCCGGCAAATCAAGTGTGAAAGAACGAATAGTGGTTTGTGCGAAATGGAGCTCTTTACCGGGACCTTCGGCTGAGCCCTTTAGTCTTCTTCTTCTAACGTAATGTGAACACCCTTTACGACAGGCTAGTCAGGCACACTAATCGCCTCCCACGAGACTCGCGTTAGCTCTAGTTTTTGTTGGTAATGACAAGAAAATAATGACACCTTTTCCATTAAAAGCTATTATGCAATACTGCGATCATTCCTGATTGAGATCTCGTTATTCGAAGTTTTTTGAATCGATCGAGCAACAAAAACTGGCATTTATAAATAATAAATAGATAATAAAACAACCCCGTCTTTTTGTTCTCGCCTTCTTCGTTGTTAATGCTATTGCCTTACTATTAACCCTTCGAAGAGCGCAGCCATAATTATTACTAAAAGATGTTAAAACCTAAATTTTCAACCAGTTGTCATTAATGGTACGCCAGTTCCCTGGCGCTCTACGCAAACCGTCTTGGTGCAACCATATAGAAACTAAAAATCATACTACTACACCCACTTATCTGCCAAAAAGTCGCCTCTTCAAAAACAAGAAACTTTAACCTCACCATAATTAGATCAAATATGTGACACCAGTTATTATTCGACCTCTCCAGGTTATACAAAAACTCTATACTAAGAACTGTTTTAACTCATTCCAATCTATATTCTTTATCGCGACTTGAATATATAAACCCTACCACAATATTTTTTTCAACGTGCAGCCAAAGAGGATTTGATAAGTTCTTGGCTCGTTCTAAACCGCTATTCATATCAAATAAATTTACATCACAAGTTTATGAGGAACTGTGCCGTAGCACGCCGGAGCTAAATGGAATTATGGCGTAAGGAAACTTGAATATTTTGTTAGTATAAACGGAGATCTGTACAGGGTAATAATAAACTGTTTATTAAATTATTATATACACTTAATTAAAAGCTTCTTTTACTTTTATTATTACTATTATGACTAATATTATTATATATTAGAGATTGGTTTAGTATATATGTTCCTAACTATTCAGAATGCTTTGGACGAACAATAATTTCAGATAATGACTTGAGAGCTACTAAACTAGACGGTTTGGGATTGCTCAGCAATCTTTACGCACTCAGCGGAGATTTTTTATGATGTATTAAAACATTTCAACCCTAAGATCTCTCTGCAGTTGTGAGAAGAGTATAAACCATAAAATGTATTCTAACGCAGTTTGTTAAGAGTTGTCAAACTTGAAAGTTAAGACCACGCCGAGGATGCTTAACTCTTTAAAGGTCTGGCAAGGCTTAATATGATTGTAGTTTACTTTTAAAATTCTGTGAAATTATTTTATTTTATGAAAAAAGGGTGTCGCCTTAGTCTCTAAAATATCTTCAAAAACTTCCAAGTAAAAATTTTGTACGTTCTTTTGAAGGAAGGTGCACATTATACTTAAGATAGATGAATTTTCAGAGGTGTGCTTTCTCAGAGAGATATCAACTTTTACAAGTAATAAAGAAACTGTATTTTTTTTTATTTTACCAAGAAGCTGTCTAAGGCTTTGGAAAATAAAGGTTACTTACAAGAATTACGAAGTCTCCTTTTTAGCAAGGTTGTTAACTTTGTTAAATACCTGTTCACAAGTGCTCACTTTTCGGTGAATCGAGGTTCCTTATTGATCAGTAGTTTTTTTTAAAAAATTAATTTTTTTCTATAGTCGTTGCAAATTGATAAGCTTAGTTATAGTGTCTTTTAAATAATATAAAATTACTAATAGTTGATAAACATTTTCTATTTATTTGCTTTAAAAAAACATAACAATCAAGAATTAGGTTTTTTAAATTTACTGACCATCATCTCTTTTAAGGGTGTAGTAAAAAACTTTTAGCAAAAAAATTTATAAAAACAATTACCTAAACAAAATATAGACTAAATACTCAGGCCAAAGTTAAGTAAGACTAAAATTTCAACGCCAAAGGTTAAGGACGGTTCATTGATGAAATTAATGTGTTTAGACAAATATTAACAAACTTTAAATAAAATTAGATTTTTTTTATTGCTTGTAACAAAAGTAACGAGAAAATGCTTCCTTTAGTAATTAAAATTACTTGAGATTTTTGCGAGACAACTTTTATTATAATTATAGCACAGAGAAGGTGGGATTGTGTGCCCTTCACATCAAAAAGAACACTAGAATATCTGATGCAAGTTTATACCTTAAAAAGGTAAAGATCTCAAAGTTAAAAGTTATTTTTTACTTTTAAAAACATCTTATTTTTGTTAACGCTGACTTCAAGTATAAATTTTACAAAACGATGACTAACAAGTAAAACTTAAAGCCTAAAAGTTGGCAGTAGAAACAAAAAGCACAAATATTTCACTCAGTATACAAGAACTGTGACTGCATAATCCTCACTTTGTGGGATTATCAAAACTCTGTAAGGACCGAGTTAACCATCATATAGTATGATTATAAATTATTCAGATTTTGATTTAGATTAAAAAATTAATATTTATAATACAATATTATTATAGTACTTAATTTTAATTACTGGTTTTTACCAGTAACTAATAGGTTAAAGGCTTAAAACTGCTTATATTGCACGCCTTCTCAGATAATATAGCACCGTACCTAACGTAAACTTTACTTTTCCTCATACCAATAATTCTCAAACTTTTAATATAGAAATTAAGTTCGTTTTGCTTCCTTGTTATAATTAGTTAAAATATATTATAAATTTTACTTACTAGACCTCTTGGTTTCAAAAAAAAAAGTTTGAAAACCTTTTTTTCTTCACCTCTTCGACTTCTTTATAACTGTCTGCGTTCCTGTGAAAGGACACTTTCTAACACGTGACTGAGCACTTGTAGTTTTTTGTAACTTCAGTATTTTTTTGTACACTTATTCGTTTGCTAATGTCAAGCGAGAAAAGGAAAACTAAACAAAATGATGATACTGGTAAATATATATTAGTTTTTATTTTTACTTTTTATGGGATATATTTTTCAAGGAAGTTAATTAATCTTTGACTCTTTTTAGTTTTTCTCTTTTGTTTTTCATACCGGTTTTAAAATATAATAAAGTTTACTCTTACTCTATAAAGATAACTAATATACTCATATTTATTACTTTTATTATAGCCTAATAAGAAACTTCTTTCTTATCTAAAGTTTTTATTACAGAAGAAGAGGATGTAGTTGGCCCAAAACCTAAATTAATTGATAAGAAAGCTAAAGTTTTAAAGTTTGAAAAACATTATTTAGGTTTTTACTTGTCTTATTAATATTAATCATAATACTTTTTAAATTTATATTTACTTTTATTTTTTTTTTTAAAAAAAACTTTAGGAAACCTGCCCTGTGCGGACATGTATGAAAAATCTTATATGCACCGGGACGTTATTACTCACTGCTTAGTTACTCCAAAGTAAATTTTTTTACCTTTTTAATAAGATTAACATAAAATAATTTTTTATTATAAAATAATATAAAATTTTTTCTTGATTTAAAAAATTTATTTAGCATAAACTTTAATACATCAAATATTTGAAAGCATAAACATTAGCTATATATGAAAAAAAAACATATTTTCCTTAATAATTAAAACAAAAATATTATTGTAAGTTCATTAAATATAATATATTATTTACCTACAAAAAATATAAAAATGAAAATTTTATTGTTCTTCAATATATTAGAATAATAATTTTTATTTACTTATAAATAATTAATAATATAATATTTATATTTGAATAAAACATAAAAAATATATATTTTTATATTATAATAAAAAAATAACAACAACTTAATTTTTTTTTAAAAGTATACAATTAAGAAATAAAAATTTTTATATAATGATTACTTGTACTGAAAATATAAATATAAAAATATTGTTACATTATAACAGTTTTGATTTATTTGAAATTTTTTAATAAATATAAAGATATTTTTTCTATAATATTAATATTTATATAATAATTATTAGAACCAAAAAAATAAAAAATTATTTTTCATAAAAAAATTTTAATATAATCAAATGATAAATTTTTATTATGATAATTATAACTAAAAAAATAATTTATAATAAGAAATATTATTATTATATTATAAACTTTTATTATAAAAATTACTTTTTTATAATATAATAAAATAATTTATATTATAATATTTAACAAAAAATAAAAAAATAATAAATGAAATTGATTATGAAACATACATTATATTATATTTAATAAACTTTATTTTATAAAGGTAATATGTGTAATAGGAACTTTTATTATAAATAAAAATATTATATATAATAAAATAAATTAGTTTATGATAATTAAATAAAAATAATATTTTTAAAAAAAAACGGATTAAAAAAAATATTGTTATTTTATAAAAAATAAGTTAATATAATAAAGTAATATAAATTATTATCATATAGTATTATAAAAATATTATATAAAATATAATAAAATAAGATATATATTACATATAAATTTATTTCATTATAACTTAATAAAAATAAACCAAATAATATAAATTATATATTTAACATTTATATTAAATTATTATAAACTTTTTATTTTTATATTAGAATATTTATATTTTTTTTACTTTTTTATAATTTTCAACAATATATTTATATCTATAGTATTAAATATAAATATATATATTTTTACTTTTTATTATTTTTTATATAATAATAGAACTAACTTTGTAGTGACTGCGAGCGTTGACGGGCATGTCAAGTTTTGGAAAAAAAGTGAAGGAGGCATTGAATTTGTGAAGCATTATAAATGCCATCTCGGTTGTTTTTATATGTAAAAAGTTCTACCAGAATAAATATTTTATATATATTTATAATATATTCTTATCATAATACTATTTTTTTTTACTGTTTACTATATTTTACTTACTATTTCTCATACTTATAGAAGCCATATCGGGCGTCTGCTGTACTGCTGATGGGCTTTTTCTTTGCACCATTTCTTCCGATAAATTCCTTAAAATTTTTGACGTCAACAGTTTTGATCTCATTAATATTGTGGCGTTGCCCTTTTTGCCTTCGGCATGTGCGTGGATCCACCAATCATCTTCAGTTATTCAACGTTTGGCCATGTGCGTAGATTTTTAAGCATCTTTTGTTAGTTTTTTATTATAAAAGTTTAAATACTCTTTTTTATGTTTAAAAATTGTTGAGACCAAGCAAAATATGAAATATTCGTAATTTTTTGTCTATTATTAGTTTATAGAATATTATCATCATTACTATTATTATTTAGTAGAAATTTATTTTTTATTATAAAAAATAGAGAAAAATATTAATTTATATATAAAAATAGTTGAGAATTTATAATGAACAAGCTGAACATAAAATATATGCTATTTTTTTTTTTTATATTTTACATTGAATATATTATTTTTATATATTTCTAACGTGATAAAAAGAAATCAAAGAAGTTTGTTATATTTTTATTAAAGAAAAAGTATATCATTTCTTATAAAAATTGGTGGCAAAATATAAAATATTCCTTATTTTTGGTTTTTTGTATATTTTATAGAATATTTATTAATACAATGATTTTTATTATTATTTTATATTAATATTATTATTATAAATTTATTTGAAGAAATTCATATAATGCTAAGTAAAATAAAGGAATTTTGGTTACATTTTTATATTTTAATTTAAAATTATATAAACATTTTTTATTACCAAGCAAAATATTATATGTATATTATTTTTTGTTTACTATTTACTTTAGAGAATATTATTTTATTATTTATTTCTGCAAAAATTAACTTTTTTATAATAATTATTACAAATTATTTATTAACGTAAAGAAGTTTTTGTTTTTTTTTTTTAAGTCAAAAAGTATAAAAAATTTTTATATTTATAAAAATGGTTGAGAATTTTTTTTATAATAATAATTATAAACTTTTTAGTAAAGTTAAGAAGTTTTTGTTATACTGCTTTTTATTAAAAGGATGAAAATTTTTATTGATCATATATAAAAATTATTAAGAACTTTTTTTTTTAAAAGTTATTTTATAGTATTCAATTCTTTTATATATTATTTTTAATATTTTATAATTATTATTATAAAATTGTTTAGTAAAGTAATGAAATCTTGTTATATATTTTTAATAAAAAAGCATAAATTTTTTATATATTAAAGTTGTTTAGAACTTTTATAAAAATTACTTTATAGTATATAATCTTTTTATATTTCATTATTATCATTATTATAAATATTTTAGTAAAGTAAAAAAGTTTATGTTATAAATTTATATATTAAAGGTATAATAATCATCATTTTTTTATAAAAAATTTTAAGAATTTTTTACTCGTAGCATATTATTATTTATATAAATTATTATAAATTTTTTTAGTAAAGTCTAATATGTTTATATATTGTTATATCTTATCAAAGAAAATATATATTTTTTACATTATAATAAATTTAGTTTTTACTATTTTTATTAATCTTCTTATAAATGTATTTTTTTTAATACAATTATAATAAATTCTTTATTAACTTGGAATATTTTTAAAATTATTATTATAAATTTATAACTAAATATATTTATTATAATATTATTATAATAAATCTTTTAGTAAAGTATAATTTTTATTAATATTATTTTAGTTAATTTTTTTTATTAATATTATAATAAATTTTTTAGTAAACTACTATTTTTATATTATTATTTTATATTTTTCAAATAATATATATTTCTTAAATATTATTTTAATTATTTTATTCATAAAATAAGATTTTCTCTATTATTACTATTAATTTTCTAGTAAAATATATTATTATTATTATTAATTTTTTTATATGAAGAGGCGCTGAAACTGATTCGAAAATCCGCATTTATGATTCGCAAAGTACAGGCGAATTTTCTAGTGAAATTGAGATACATTTGGACTCCGTTTTTTTAATGAAGGCTTCTTTTTATTATAAATTTATTAATTTTTATTATTTTTATTACTTTTTATTTAAATTTATCAATTTATAATATTTTATTTTTTTATTTTCTAAAAATTATATTTTTTTTTATTATTGTTTTATTACTTTTATATAAATTCTTCAATCTTATTAGTCTTTTATTTTATATAAATATTATTTTATTTTATTAAGTTTTTAATTTTCTTATACTTTTTGTATAATCTATTATTATTTTTTATATTTTTTATACTTTTTATATATATATTTGTTTTTTTCTTGTTTTATTAATTTACTATTTTTATATTTTTTATTACTTTTTTTATAAATTTATTTTTATTAATATTATCTTTAATTTTTATATATTACTCTATTCCTTTTCTATATAAATTAATTATTTTCATATTACATTATAACATTTTTATATTCATATTATTTATTTTTTTTTTGTAAATTTATATATTATGTAATATTTTTTAACGTTTCCATATAAATTTATTATATATTATATTTATTTATACTTCATTATTTAAATTTATAGAAAAATGATCCGCTTGGCGTAGTCGTCTCCATTGATAAATCGGGTTTTCTTATTGAAAATTTATATATATAAACTTCTCTATAAAATAAATCACCTAAAATATTTTTTAAATAAAATTTTGATACAAGTACTTTTATTAGACGGAATTATAAATTTGATTAATTTCTATTATAAACTTTTTTTTATAAATTTATATATATATAAAATTCATTAATAAAATTTTTATAGAATTATTTTTTTTTCTTTATACTATTTTTGTAAACTATATCAATAATTTTACTAGAATATTTTTTTCTATAAACTTTTTTATAATATTTAATATATTTAAATAATTTTTTTAGAGTATTTGTAATACTTGTTTTCCTCTTATTCGTTTTGTTGTTTAGCATTTAGTAGAATATTTTTATCTATTTTTCCTTTTTTTTTATTTTTTATATATAGTAATGCAGTTATTGAATAATATATATTTTATTATAATAATAATCATTAAAAATTTATTTTAATATTTATTGTCGTATTAAATTTTCTATATATATAAATTTTTTATTTCTAGTACTTTATTAATTTACTTTTTACTTTTCTATTATAATAATAAATTAATTACTAAAAATTTTTTAAATTTTTAATTTTTATTAAATTTATAATATTTTTTATTATTTCAAACTCTTTTTATACATAAATTTTACTTTTTTCATTTACTTTATTTAATTAATTACCATTTTTTTATAATTATTTAATAGTAAGTAAATTACTTTATTTTATTAACTTTTTCTTTTTTTATAAATTTTTTTATACTTAATTTTCCTTTTTTTCTAGTGCTTTATATATTGATAATTGTTTTTTATAATTATTATAAATTTATTGTTATTATAAAAAATTATTTAAAAAAACACTACAATATTTTTATTTTACTAAACTCTTTATATAAAATTTTACTTTCCTTCTAGTACTTTATGCATTCAATAATTATTTTTTTTATAATAATAAATACAATATCTTATTTTTTATATACATAAATTTTACTTTTCTCCTGTACTTTATTTATGTAATTATTATTTTTTTATAATTTAGTATATTCAAATTTCTATATATAAAAATTTTACACCCTTTTTTTACTACTGTAATAATAATTATATTTTTGTAATATAAGTTTTTATTTTTTAAAACTTTTAATTTCTTTTATGAAAATTTAAAAATATCTAATTTACTGAATTTCTTTTATATTTGTTATTAAAAAAATAAATATATAATTCATATAAATTTGTATTATTATATAAACTTTTATATATTTTTTAAAATATAAACTTTATTAATATGTAGTTATTATTTATATTTTTTTTAACTTTTTATTTCTAATAAACTTTTTAAAATAAAAATATATTTATGAATATTTTTTCTTATAAACTTTTTATAATAAAAATTTTATTACATTTTATAGTTTCTTTTATAATTTTGTATACTTTATATGTAGAAGTTTTATTTTTTTTCTTTTTTTAAGTATTTTAAAAGTTTTATTTATTTATATTAACTTTTTATATAAAACCTTTATATAAACACTTATTTTTTCATAACTTTAAATATTTATATAAAATATTTTTTATTTGAATAATTATTATTGTGAAAAGTAGTAACAAAAAAGTAAGCAACTTTTAATTATTATAAAGTATTTTATTATCGAAAGAATATTTACTTAATATATGATTATATTATTGCTATTATAAAAATCACTATTTATTCACAAAAAAATAAATAGAAACTTACAAATCTTTATCTTTTATTAACTTTAAAAAAATTTATTACTATTATTATTATTAAAAAAAAGTAGTATAAAAAATAATATATACCGCAAAATATAAATATTCTTAACAATTAATATAATTATAAACTTAAAAGTTTTAATAAATATAATATATATATATTGTTTCTATCAAACATTTTTATAGTTATAATGAATGCAATTTTTAAAATTATTATTAAGTTTTATTATTTTAATATTTTATTATAATAAAATAATTAATAATTACGTTTGAATATTAATAATAACTTTTTTTACTATGCAAAACTTTTAGTATATACTTTTTTATAATATTTTTGTCTAATTTTAATATATATAAAAATATATCTTTTATATATATATTTCCTGCTGTGGTCTTCTTTTTTATATTTATTTATAATACTATGTTTATATATTTGTTCATAATTATGCTTTTATTATTATTATTATTCAGGACTTTTTTTAAATATATAAATTTTTTTTTTATTTTGTATTATTTTTATTGTTAAGTTCTTTAAAATACAAAAAAGTCGATCTATTTATTATTTTTATTAAACTTTTGATATAATAAAATTGCATTTGAATTTTTTTTAGTAAATTTTTTATATATTTTTTATAATTATAAAAATTTTTAAATTATTTATAAACTTTTATTACGAAATTTAATAATTTTAAATTTATTTAATTTTTTTATATTATTTTTATATAATAAAATATAATTTTTTTTCAATTTTTTTATTAATTTTTTAATTATATATAAAATTTTTCTTACGAATATCAAATTTTAATCTTCTTTTAAAGTATTATATTTTTACTTTATTTAATTTTTATTATTATTTTTATATAAAAATAATAAATTCTTATAATTTTATTAAGAGATTTTTTAATTTTTTTTTTAACATTTAATTTTTTATTTTTCTTATAATAATAATAAATTTATAAACGATAAACATTATGATTTATAATAATAATAATAAATATTAACTTTTTTTTAAGGAATGCTCGAACTGTGGAACGCAGAAACTTTACAATTCCCAAAAAATTTAAAATTCGAATATAAGTCTGAAACGGATTTGTACGAATTCGCTAAAGTTTTTTCTTTTTATAACTTTTTATTTTTCTGTATAGTTTCTGTTATTATATAGTAATTAATATTATTTACAATATTAATTTATTTTAAAACTTATTAATTATTATTTATATAAATGTTATTATTTATTATTTATCAATTAATAAAACTTATTATTATTATATATATTTTGTTATTACTTATTTATTATTAATTTTTATTTTTTATTATTTTTCTATATACGTCTCATTGTTTGTGTATTATTATTTTTTAGTTAAATTTATTATATTTGAGTTTTTTTTATTTTTTATATAAACTTCTCGTTATTATATTTAACTTTTTTTTTTATATATAAATTTTATTATTACTTCCTTTCTATTTATTATTTTTTATATCAACTTGTCTTAATTTATTTACTATTATATTTAACTTTTTATTATTATTTATATAAATTTTGTATTATTTATTTATTTTTATGTTTAACTTTTTATTAATTTTTTTAAATTTAGTTATAATTTCTTATTTATTAATATATATAACTTTTTATTGTTTTTTATATAAATTTTGTTATTACCTATTAACTTTATATTATTTTTATATAGTTTTTGTTAAAATTTAATATTTATTATTTTTTTTAATTTTTTTTTTTTGATTTAATATTATTAATTTCTTATAAATTTTATTATTATATTTAACTTTTTAATATAAATTTAGTTATTTATTTTTATTACTTTTACATAAAATTTTGCTAAATTTCGTTATTTATTATAATTTATAACTTTTCTTTTTTTTTTTAAATTTTTAATCAATAATTTATTTAGTTAATTGCTTATTTTTTTGGCTCCAATATTATAACTTTTTACCCATTTAAGACCGTTTTTTGTCGTTTTTAAATATTGCAGCAATATATTTTTTCACGGGCATTTTCATTATTTGGCTCTAATAATAAAAATTTAATCGCTTATGGCGTTATTTTGCATCAAATAGAACAAAACGTTACCGACCTCAATAGACTTTTCTCCGGACGGCCAATTAATGGTCATGATGTCCAAGGTTTTTATTTATTGGTTTATTTTTTAAGAAGTTTCTTTTTATTGGCTCGTCATATAGGATCTTAAAATTAGAATTTTTAATGTTTTAAGTGGAAAATTGTTCAAAATTTTTGATGAGTCGCTTTCAACTTTTACGGAATTGCAAGCTGTAATGACTGTTATGATTATTATTTTTATTAATTTCTTTATTATAATTATCATAAAAGTTTTTGTAATATTAATTTTTACTATGTACTTTTTTAATTTTTATTGGTAAATATTTTATATATTGCTTACTAATTTTATAAACTTTACTAAGTTTTGTAGTTTAATTTTTCTATTCGCTATTTTTTTATTTTTTCACCAATCAAATTAATTAATCGTTGTCAGGTTTTTTATTAAAGTTTTTTATTATTTTCTTTAAAAAAAGTTTTAATAATTAAATACTTTTTTTTATTGATTATTGGTTAATTTTTTTTCACCGATTAACTCATTGGTCTTTTTGTCAAGTATTTAATGAAGTTTTTATTGTAAATTCTCAACTTTAGAATTTTTATTTTTAATGTTATTATAGAAAAGCCCGCAAATGGACAACATTGAGTTCGGAAGAAGACTTGCTGTGGACCGAGAAATCATTAAAAATGATGCGCTAAAGTACACTAATGCAGGTAGCCAGTCAATCTTGTTTGTTTTTTAACTCATCGGCGTGACTTTCCACGTGACTTTTATATTAGTTTTTGATGAAAGCGGGAATTTTATACTTTACGCGACGATGCTCGGCATAAAAGTAGTCAATATTCGCACCAATAAGTGCTCGAAAGTTAGTATTATTATTATCATTATTATAATTATTATTATTATTATTACTATATCATTTTCTTTTCATTATTATTATCATAATATTATTTATTACTATTAATATAATATTTTTTTTAAGGTTATTGGTAAATCCGAAAGTTCAGCAAGATTTCTAAACTTGGCATTATACCAAGGAAGACCCAATGAACACAAAATACAACTTTCTATAGTAAATACATGCTTATTATTATCATTATTATAAACTTTTTTATTTCTATTATTATCCAAATATTTTTTTATTACTGAAATGTTCATTTTCACTTTTATTTATTATTTATTACTATAATTTTTATATAATTTTATTATTATTATATCATTATTATTATTATAAAATATTAACAGGACGTGAGGACTTCGGAAAACCCCACCATCACTAAAAATCTTGCAGAGGACCCCACGCTATTCTGCACGGCATACGGAAAAGAGCGCTTCTATTTGTTCACGCGGAGAAGCCACGAGGACGGCTCGAGGTTAAGCTTTGCAGCGCTTTTTGGTTAAGGGCAACATTAATTTTCATCAGCGAATTGCACCGCGATGTTTTCAACGAGCTGCCTTCCCGCGAAGAACGACTGGCTGCTACTGAAGCCATTCAGGTGACTATTTTTTTGCCCTACATAATAAAGTATTCTTTGGTGTGGCTTTTTGCTGAGCTAAAAAAAAGGCGGAATTAAGTTATTTATAGATTATTTTTAAGTTGACGTTAATATTAATGATCTGCTCAATAAATCACAATCTGCTTTTGTTCTACGGTAAAACCTGTAGTATCATTGGCTGCGAGTAAAAACTGCTAATGGTTCATTAAAAAATCCAGTGGAAATTAAAAATTGACTTTTTTTACTTTTTTTTCATTATTTTTTTTGCATATTTTCCATTAAATTATGTTTTATAGGAAAAACTTCCAAGTTCTATAGTTTTGCACACCACGTTGGGAGATATTTTCATAAATTTATTTGTTGAAGAATGTCCTAAGACAGTTGAAAATTTTGCCGGCCTTTGCAAAAAGGCGCGCCTTTTTTCCCGCGCCTTTTGTATATATAAATATATTGGTATTGGCTAAGCAGGGCTATTATGATTCGCTGATTTTTCACCGTGTGGAACAGGGATTTATGATTCAAACGGGCGACCCTGAAGGTATTTTTATCCAAGTTTTACTTTTAATAATAACAATTATACTAATAATAATAATAATGAGTCTTCTAATCTCAATAATAACAATAACTTTTATGAAAAGTTTTCTTTACTTTTACAAATAATAATAAATAAAACTTAAATATAGTATTAATAATAACTTATAGGTAAACTTTTTTTGTTTTTCTTATAATATTAAATAGGCAATAATTACTTTTAGTTTTACTTACGATAATAACTTTTTATAAAGTTAATATTATAATAATAATAATAACTTTATTGTGATGTTTTTCTTTACTATATAAGAAACCTATAACTATAATAACTTTTTATAAAGTTTGTAATAAATGATAGTAACTCTTGTTAAAGTTTTACTTATAATAATAAATAAAGCTTAAATATATTAATAATATAACTTTTATTTAAAATTTTTCCTTATAATAAATAAAATCATTAATAATAATAACACGTAAAGTTTTTACTTGTAACAGTTATAAACTCATTAATAGTAATAATATGTAATTTTTTTATAAGTTTTACTTACGAATTTTAAAAAATTTTATTTTTACATTTTAATCTAAATTGTAATATTATTAAGATTCTATTAATATTTTTTTTTTCTAATAAAAAATTTTAATATCTTTTGATTCTTTTATAATAAATAGTGTTTTCATTATTATTATTGTTTTATTTTTTATCGTTCAATATAAATTTAATATTAAAATAATATCAACTTATAATGTTTTAATACTGCCGCCATAGGCGACGGAACTGGCGGCGAAAGCCTATGGGGGGGCACCTTTGAAGACGAGTTTCACCGAAATCTTCGCCATGACAGGCCGTTCACCGTTTCGATGGGTTTTTTATTTATATATTTATTTATTATTAATATTACTATAAACTGCAAGAAAAAAGTGAATATATAAAGCATTTATAAACTTTTCTATAAAAAATGGAAGAATATATTTTTTTATATTGTATTTTAAAAATATGAAAGTTTCATTATTTATTTTTACTTAAAAAATTATTGAAAAAGAGAAATAAACGTTTTGAATAATATGAAGATATAAAGAATTAATAAACTTATATAATAAGAAATATTAAACGTTTTTAAAAAAATGGAGTATTTATTTTTTTAATTTTTTTTGGAAAGAAAATTCGAAAGTTTCGTTATTTTCTAAATAAAAGTAAAAAATAATGAATTAAAATAAACGACCTGAGAAATTATGAAGGTATGATGGTTTAAAAACTTTTCTATAAATAATAGGACAATTTAAACAATAAAAAGTATTTTTTTTTGTGAATTTGGTTTGAAATTAATTTTTTTTATAAAGTTTTATTAATTTGTATTTTTAAAGAAATGAACTAAAAATAAAAGTTTTGAAAAAAATATGGATATATATAGAACATATACAAATTTTTTCTTTGTAAAAATATAACATTTCAAAAAATAAATAAAAGTATATATCTTTTTTATTTTGCTTTAAAAGTTTCAAAATATAAATTATTTTAAACTTAAAAGTAATGGAAAATTTTATGAAAAAAATTAATAAAACTTTTTTTAATAAAAAAAAATTTCACAGGAAATATTAAAAAAAATGAAAGCAAAATTTTTTTTTATTTTGCTTTAGTATTTTTTTTTTATTAAAAATGTAGAAAACGTTTATGTGTAAAAAGTTTATAAAATTTTTTATCACAAATTTTAAAAAAAATAAATATTTTTATTTATTTTATTATACCAAAATACAATTTTTTATATTTATTACATTTTATATATTAAGTTTTTCCTTTTTTATCGTATCAGTTTTACATTTTTCTTAAAATTTTATATTCAAATATTAAAAAAATTTATTTTTAAAAAAGTGTTATATTTTTATTTTTCTATATACTTATTCATATTGCATTCATATATATTAAAGTAGAGTTTATTTATATATTATATAAAATATAAATATAGTTTTTCTTTTTTTATCGTATCAGTTTTATATTTTTATTTTTATCGATTTATAAATATTTGAAAAAGTCTACTTGGTTTATGTTATTATACAAGTTTTATATTTTTTGTTAATAATTTATTTTTACAATTAAAAAAATTTTATATTATAAAAGTTTCTTATTTTCAATTTTTATTTTATTTTTTACTTATTATAAAAGTTTTTTTTTAACTTTTTTTTATAATTAGACTTTTATATTTTTTAAATAGAAAACGTTTACTTATAAAAATATTAATCATATACTTTTTAAAAATTTATATATTCAATATAAAAACTGAAACCAATTACTTAGTAAATTTTAAAAAATTAAAACAGTAAAAGTATAGAATTTTAATTTCGCTTAAGTAATTTTTTTTAGAAAAAATATAGAAAAATCATAAATGTTTATAATGAAAAATATTAGAGAAAGTAATAAATAAATTTTTTTAAAGAAGTTATAAAAAGCTTCAATAAAAAGTGAAAGGTAATAAATTTTTCTTTCGCGTTAGTAACTTTTTTTATAAAGAAATACAGAAAAAATATCCATAAATATTTTTCAAAAATACTAAAAAGTGAAAGTAAGTAATAAAATTATTATTTTATTTTAAAAATTATAATTACAGAAACTTTTGTAAGATAAATTTATTTGGCGTGTATGAATTTCTACTTCGAATTTCAAAATAATTAAAAACTTTAAAAAGTTTATAAAGTTTTAATTTTGCTCTAGAAAGTCCTTATTTTTGGGTAAAAATTAAAAAAAAAATTATTGAACAGCTTTTGACCGCCCTAGATCGAAACCATCGGGAAGCCGCAAGGAATAATACGTCAGCTGACGCAAAGTTTATATATAGGGCCTATCTCTTTAGGCCGCTTAACGGCATCCCCTGGCGGCAAAAAGCAACCGTTACTTACTTGAGGGATTTATATTGCAATCGCGTAGGCACCTAGAATAGCCAACAGTCCAACTTAAAATCTATACCTGGGAAATAGGGTTGAAAATACCCTAAATGCATCAAGCACCATAATAATCTTGCATGAGATACGGGCTTTTTTTCCGTCTCTCGTTGCTTGCGCATTCCTGTGCGCTGCTTTAAATCTCTCATTTTTATTTAACTTTTGAAAAAAAAATATTTATAAATTTGGGATAATCGAAAAAAAAACTTTTTGTAGAAAAGTTTCAAAACAAACTATAAAATTTCAAGTTAATGATTTTGCTTTAGTAATTCCTTATATTAGTAAAAATTAAAAAATAACATATTATGTATATTTTTGTTATAAAGTAATAAAAATTATAAGCCGAATTCATAAAACAATAAAAAAAACTTAAACTTAGAGAAAACAATTATAAATTTTGTGTACAATTAATTTTCCTTTGGTAACTTCTTTTTTTTATAAATAAAGCGAACGCTGGCCCCGACACAAACGCCTCGCAATTTTTTATTACCGTTGCTCCAACGGTAGAATTTTTTATCTAAAAATTAAATTTTATTTTTATTTTAATATTATTACTTTTAAAATTTAAAACAAAGTTAAGTTTGAATTCTTCTAATTTTTTTATATTAATTTAAAACGATATTATTCTTTTCTATACTTTTTTTTATTTATTAATAAAATAATTATACTAATAATTATAGTTGCATTACGTTCTGAATTATTCTAATTTTTTTTTATAATTTTGAATTTTTAATCAATCTGTTTATCATAAATATATATATACTATATTTAGCCCTGGCTGGATAATAAGCACACCGTCTTTGGGAGAGTTAGTAAGGGGATGGACGTTGTTCAGACTATCAGTATGACAAAAGTTCATCCCAAATCGAAAAAGCCTTACGAGGATATAAAGATTATCAACTGCTCTATACTGCAATAGAATATTTTTAAAAGCATAGCTGGTTAATTTGATGCAAAAAACTAAAGTTGTAATAAAAGGAAGATAATTATTAATTTTTCATGTTCAATGCAATAGCAAAGTTCATCTTGAATTACAAAGCTTTGCGAGGGAGTAAAGATTATTAACAGTCTATACTACAATAAAAAAATCTCTAATAGCACAGCTTATTAATTTCTGTGCAAATTTTAAGTATAATAAAAAAGAAATTTTTTTTTATTGCAATAGCAAAGTATATTATGAAAATAAAAGGCCTTACGAGAATGTAAAGATTATTAACTAATCTATACTACAATAGAAAAATTTTAAACAGCACGACTGATTGATTAGTGTGCGAAATAGCAATAATTATAGTAAAAATAAAATAAAAGTTATAAAAAGTTTTTTTATTTTTAACTTCAAAAGCAGTTTATTTTATTAAGGAAAAGCTTTAAAAGGATTAAAGAATATCACTGCTCTATACTGCAATAGAAAAATCTTAAAAATAGCTCATTTATTTTTGTGTAAAACAAGGAAAATTAGAATAAAAAGAAAGTAAAAATGATAAAAAGATTATGTTATAAATAACAAGTTTTACGAGCATGTAAAATTTATTATCTGCTCTGTACTGCAATAGAAAAATCATAAAAAGCATAGCTGATTAATTTCTGCGCGAACATTAAATATTATTATAAAAAGTTAACCTTAAAATTGTAAAGATTTACTAGGGTAAGAAGATTAACAACTGTTCTTCATTGCAATAGAATAATTTGTAAAAGTTTCTAAAAAATTTAGTAGAACATTATTCTACAATAAAAACTTTTTTGTTAAAAATATTTTATTATTATTCATTTGTTCATTGCAGTAGCAAAGTTCAACCTAACTCGAAAAGGCGTATGGGTATGTTAAGATCAACTATTCTTAGTAGAAAAATATATGGGTAAGCTGATTTAAAATTTACTTTTTTAAACTTTTACAATCTACTTTTGAAACTGAATAAATTTACTGTTTAATTTTTCCTTCAATATTTACTTATAGGAACCCGACATGTTACAGTCCCCAAACTCATTCATTCTAATTCATTTCGGTTTTCTTTTAGTGGATATTAGAGTAAAATTCGTTTTTTAAAATAATCGCTCTTCACTGCAATAGCATCATAACTAAAGCATAGAATTGGGAAGTACGTATAACCTGCTTTTAAGTTTTATTAAATATTCCAACATGAAAGAATTTAAGTATAGTTAGTGAAGCTAACTCTAACTGTTCAAAAGGTTTGTTCAAAAACCTTAACAGTTTTATTTATAAAAAATTTCAAAGAGGTAAGTTGACGATTAGCTAAAAATTTTTCTTATACTTATATTTCTCTAGCAATATTTATCTAGCAGAATTTAAGGAAAAAATGGGTTTTCTTCGTTCGTCTGCTAAAAAACTTCTTGTATAGTGAATGATAAACAGAGCAATATATATAGATAACGCTAGTAGCCAAAACCAGTATAATACACGCAAGCATAATACAATAGTAATATCTTAACAAAACTATTATATAAAATCCAGTTTTTAACTAGATAACTTCAAAAGCCATTGTAAAGGATAGCCTAACTTCTTTAGCGCATTCCATACAATTACAGGAAAACTTTAACACCCGATCATTTTTATTTAACCTGTAGAGCTTATGTAATTTTAACAATCTCACTGCCCATAAATAAATATGCATAAATTGTATATCTAAATAATTAAAATAAAAATTGTATACTTACTGAACACAATTATAGTTTTAAACTGCTCTCAGAAGTGGATACAGTTGAGTTATAACTACTAAGTATTGATCCTGCAACGAGTGAGCCTCCCGGCTTTTCTTATATTATGGATTCGTGTAAATTAATCACCGCCACTACTCATATAATTTCACATATTTCAGCAGAAATTCAGATCTTTAGTTTTCTTATGAACTTTCAAATAAAAGTTAACGAATTCATCTTTTAATGCATGCTCCTCGCCAAATCTCCCATAGTTTAATATACTCTTTCCGCAACATATTAATTAAAAGATAAAAGAGTCCGGCTAAGAACGCCTTACGGATCAGTAAATATATATTACCTGAAACAGATTTACTTTTTAAATCAATAAATACAACTATCTATATTTTGCCCAGCTAAAGTGTTTAGACGCTTTCCTAAAGAGGCCACATTTATATTTATGGCGGATTAATAAAGCGATTTTATTGGAGAAAATTTATTATTTTAACTCTGCGTTAAAATTTTTTTCTATTTGAGGCCGTTAACGGAAAAGAATCAAGTTTTTCTCTGCAGTTTTACTTACAGCGTTCTTCATGTCTTCTGCTATCTGCGTTTTAAAGGGTGATAGAGGCTTCAAGTGTGAAGGTTTTTTTTTTGCTTATATTAACTAATAAGACTGGAGTTATTCAATATTTTGCTCGTTTAAAAAAGTGTAACACTTAAATCTATTTGCTTTATACAAAAATTTAGGGGTTTTGCATTTTAAAGAAGAGGGCGATAAAGTTAGGGTGACTGGTGAAATAAAAGGATTACCTAAAGGAAAACACGGTTTTCATATTCATGAATTCGGGTACGTTCAAAATTAATTTTTACGAGAAATTTTTTTTAACTAACAAAAACAGTGATAACACTGAAGGTTGCATAAGTGCAGGTTCACATTTTAATCCTTTAAATAAGAATCACGGAGCTCCTGAAGATAAAGAGAGGTCTTCAGTTTTTATTAAAAGGCTGAATATGAAAATAATATTTTTTTTAGGCACGTTGGTGATCTTGGTAACATTGAAGCTAACGAAGAAGGCACTGCTAAAGTGAACATTTTAGATAATCTCATTAAAATTAAAGGGCCCCATTCAATAGTTGGAAGAACGGCTGTAGTTCATAAAGATGAAGATGATCTTGGTAAAGGAGGCCACGAGCTTAGTTTAACTACAGGTAGACAGTTTTAAAAGTTAACTCATAAAAAATTATTGTATGGCTTATTAGGAAATTCGGGAGAACGCATTTGCTGCGGCGTCGTTGGATTCTGCAAAGGAAATTAATCGAGGCTTTATGACCTTTTTTGTAGCTACAAATCATTAATAAAAAACTTTGAAACCCTTTTATTTTTTTTAAGTTTTTACGAGAACAGTTTTACTCTAAAATTTCTTGTTTGGTAGCTGCGGGTTGAATTTTTAATGACAAAAGAATTATAAATTAACATCAAAAAAATTTAAAAGGCAATTTTAAAATTTTCCTAGTTTCCCGAGAACGGCTTTAAACTTACTTTCAACCTTAAAATCTTCTGTTTCGGAGAACCACTCGAAATTTTAATTATAAAAGGGTTTAAGTTAAATAAATAGTAGTTATAAGGCCTTATTACATTTTCTAATTTTTATAAGAATGACTTTGAACTTTCTTTAAAACTGAAACATAAAGTTACTTTAAATCTTTAGCTTGTGTGCCGTACCCGAATCTTTGATCTTGAAATTTTTTTAGGGCAAATGTAATTTTTTTCAAGTGTCAGCTAGGTTTGTTTAACTTCCGGAGCTCAAAGTACAATTAGAAATTTTTGGTTTTGGAGAAGTACTCGAATTTTTGTGCTGTGTAATGTATAAATAAGTTAAATTAATAATATAAACAAGGGCCGGAACTTTTAAAAATACTAACTTAGAGTAATTCTACACTCATAGTCCTTTAAAGATTAATTGAGTAAAATTATCTTTAGTTCTTAAGTGGCATATAATATTTTTTCCCAAAAAATATTTTTAAGTTCATAAGTTCCAAAATTTTTAATTTAAAAGTGGCTTGAAATACTTTTTATGTTCTATTTAATTATTTTTTTTAACCAAATTTTTTAAATGCTAATCAATTAAACTTATTTGAACATAAATTTTTATTACTCAAAAAAAGCACAAAAAACCGATATAGATAAGTATTAAGGCAAAAAAAATAACAAAATATTCCGATAAGTTAGTCTGCCGGCCTTCAACCATACTATAAGCCAAATGGGGAGGAAGGCCCCGGCAAAAAGGCTTGAATGAGGGAGAAGGGAACAAGTGAAGAACCTACACTTGAAATTCCAGAGATGGCACGCACGAAGAGCACCGCGGATAGACCGCCACCAGGCTTGACTTGACAAGTTTTGAGGGTGCACTTTATTTATACTATTTTGTCAAATACTGCTAACCAATGAACTTCCTTGTTTTCGCAATTATTATTATATTTAAATTTTTAGTGTAATACGTTATATCTTCTCGATTAATGTATTCGCTTGTCGTTATTTATCTAAACTTAGCGATTCATAAATTGTGTTTTGTGTCGAGTTATATTAAATTCTTAACAAAAAAATTTAGATTTCGTAATATTCCCATAGTAATGCACCGCTTTACATGTGTTCATACTGCAGTTGTTTTGTATTTCCACTTAAAATTCAGTTTTACCTATATTTATTCTATTATAATTCTTGCTTACTTTTTACTCTTTAGTCTTAAGTTTAATTTATATTATTATTAACCTTCTGAACTTTTATCACACTAATTACATTAGTTTAGCACTTTTTTTCATATTTTTTGAGTTGCAACATTCGTATTATCCAAATTATTATTTCTATCACTGTCGTCACCGTTATAAGTGTTACTATTAAAATTATTACATTAACTGTACTTTAATATTATTATTAATAATTTTATAATTACCACTGCATGTAAAATTTTTGATATGCGTTGCACATTCTCATTTTATGGTGTCTTTTAATCTCTGCTGGAAACCGTCTTTTTTTTGCAGTTTACAACCATTATCGCATATAAGTTCATTTTTACATATAAAATTTTAGCACACCTAGTACTGGAAGACATTAACATTCTCTTCAAACAATGTTTTTACATCCAGGATTTGACCCGTATTGACAATATACAGGTGTATAATGATATTTTCCATTAGATGTGCTCCCTTGGAGGTTCCTCCCCTATTAAAAAACTATTATATAAATTCAGTTTGAAGTTCACGGGCTATTAATTTGTACTGATGTTACAGTATTCTATTATGTTGCAACTCTCTACTTTTAAAATGAAATTGTCATACGACTTAAAAAGGCCATTTAACTTTCTAACCATAGTCAAATATGTCGTTCGTAAATTAATTTTTATTTTTGTTTAGTGTTGTCTACATCGTAGCTATACTTTTATAGTTTCTGAGGTTATTTTTAAATGCGTTCTTCTTTATATTGGGTTTATTTTACTGTAAAGAAGCGCATTTAAGTAACTGGAGGTATGGCTGAACGGTGCGAGATCTTAAACGTAAGTCAGAATATTTTGGGGGATAGAAACAAACTCGATAGCTAGCGATAAGCCCAACTCTACATTTGTACATCGCGACTTCTCAGTTTTTGACGAGTTAATAAGCATTAAAAAAGAAATTTAAATCTATTCGATCACTTTTCGTACGTGCGATCTTTTATGGCAAATTTTCTAAATACTTATCCTAACCTGCGCTGCAGTTCAACTCGAGAACATTATTTTACCATCACCATTGAAGGCTGAACAGGTTGCGCTCGCAAGCAGATATCCTTTATAAGTGATAAACTGGCTTGTAGAAATAAAATTGGATTATAAATTAGCTTACTTACTGATCTGCACGTTAAAAGCTAGCAGAGTATACGCATTGCGTGCAACTTGTAAGGGAGAAAACTATAGATAATAGTTAAGAGTCACTAAGTAAAAATTTATATGGATGCTCAGCTAATTCTTATCATTTATTGCAATAGCAAAAATATGATAGAGGATTTATTTAATAAAAAATTTTACTTTATAAGACCTGTGGTTAATTTATTGAATAAATTCTTCACGGACAAAATGTACGCCATGACGGGAATAAGAATGTGTTTTGCTTTCAAGCACATAAGTTGATTAACTATTCAAAAACGTATAAAAAGTCTACGATTAAAGTTTTAAACTATTTAAACTTTGCAATGTTATAATAATTGTAGAAGTAACAAAAAATTTGCAACCACTTCATTAAACTGCTATAGCATTAATAACTACAAATTTATAACGGGGTAATTAGCTCTTTCTCTTTATATAACTGCGGAAGAGTTGAATAACCAAATAAATTTTCGTAAATATTAATGAGTTACATATGGACTTCAGACCTTATTAATAATTTAAAATTTAAAAATAAATTTTAAGCATTAACAAAAGAGTACAATATTAGAAATTTTTATTTACGACTTCTTTAAAAGAGACATATTACTTAAATATAGATTGTCAGATCATACAAAATAGTGTATATAAACTTTTGCTTACGTTCAGTTTAATAAGGTTAGGTACTTATATTTAAAAATAAAATTATATTCAAAATTAGATTTATCAAAAATTTTTCTATTAAGTTTATGTACTCTAGCATTACGTAATATTTTTGTTTTTGTTTATAAAAATATAAGGCAAGTATGGAACGTTAAGCACTATAGTCCTTTATTTGCCTTATTTCCTTTCTTTTTGCCAAAGAGATTTGCGATACAATTTTTTAAACAATTTTACCATTTTTGTATACATTTGTAATATTTTATCATAAAATAACATATGCCAATAGTTTTAAATATTAATGGAAACACTTGCTTAATTAATAAAAAACTATAATACTTTTAATTTTAGTCACCCTAATGTTGGTGATAAACCTCGTTGGGTCCTCCAATTATGAGCGCTTTAGTTAAAGGGAAACGTTCTTATAATACATCAGGAGAGGGATTTAAGCGCTCTAAAACAGGAATTTATTTTTTAATTCTTCTGTTTTACTAATAAAACTAGAAAATATATATTGAATACAGAGAAATCGTCATTGTTTAAAGGATTTATTATTCATATTATTTCTACTGGCCTCGGTAATAAACGAATTGACATATTTCAGAAACTTCTTGGTGACAATGGTGCTGAAGTTGAAGTAACTTAAAATATTCCTTTCTCTTTTTATTTAAAGGCCTTTAATATTTGAGAAATTTAATTATATTATTTAACTTAAAAATTTAATTAATCTTTTTCTTTTTAGTTTTTTGATCCTAAAACAATTAAGAGAGCGACACATATATTAACCGTTTTAACTCAAAGACAATTATCAAAGGTTTATAAGCATATTTTTTTTGTACTGCAAAACTTTTGTATAGTTCATTTCGATAGTTATTTTTGGAGAATAAAGTTACTTTAAATCAAGAAACCAAAGTTCTCACTGCCGACTGGTTTTCTGAGGTCCTCTTTATTTATTATAACTGTCTTATTATAAATATGATAAGTTTCTCTAGGGACTTAAGCGCAAAGAGCTTGTAAACCCGACTAAATATGAGATTAAAGTCGATAATAAATACATTTCAACAAGAAAGAAGTAAATTTTCTCTTATATTCTGTTTAATTTATAAAGCTGTCCCTATTTTGCTCATGCCTTATACTACTTTTTTTAGTTTATTATGTCCCAGTTAACCTTTACATCTTTTTATTTAATTTACTTAAAATAACTAATCTTACAGCTACGTACAAATCTTTTTTGTGACTTGCTATTTATATATGTTAATAGTCGGGTTGGAACACAACAAAAGGAACATCATGCGGAAGAGTCTGAGTCCCCTAAGCAGAATAAAAAGGTTTATTAAAAACGCTATATTGAAAGCTACCTTTTATATAATTCTCTAGGAAAAAGTTTCTGCTTTAGCTAAATTTAAGGAAGCTACTACACAAAATAGTGAAAATTTAAAAATTATAAATAAGCTTTCAGAGATGATGAAAGGTGAAATTTTGCAATCCACTTGCCTATATATTTAAAAAATTATTTGTTTAATATTATAGCTTACGAGGCCACTGGAGATGTGTGGAAAGCTACTGTCTACAAGAAAGCAATTGGTCGAATTAAAGCACATGAGGAACCAATCAAAAGTAAAGAAGAAGCGATAAAAATTCCAGGAATTGTACTTAAAAATAATTAAATTTTTTTTATGCTTATTTTCTTACTTATTTGTTTTTGTGTTTAAGGGGAAAAATATAGCCGCTCATATTGAAGAAATTCTTGAGACAGGAGAGCTTGAAGTCAAAATTTTAAAATTTTTTTTTAATCTTTACGTTACAGACTTATATTTTTCACCGCTTTGTTTGCTTAGAAATTGGACCATGTCGACAAGGACGTTGGTGTTTTTAGCACTTTTACTAACATTTGGGGATGCGGCCCTAAAACTGCGCGGGTGTTATTATTACTACTCCTCTCTACAAATAAACCATTTAAGTTTATAACAAAGATTAATTTAGGAGTCTTGTTAAAGGAATTAGGACTATTATTTTTTTTTAGTTATCTAAATATAAAAAAACTAATTTTTTTTATACATATATTAGCAACTGTATAACAAAGGGTACAGAACTTTAGGTGATTTATCAAAAAGTGATGATTTAAATCGCCAACAGAGGTTTTTTTAATGGCGCTAGAAACTATTAAAAGTGATATATTTAAATTTAAATTTAATAGAATTGGCTTGAAATATTATGAAGATTTCAATACGAGTATTCCGCGCGAAGAGGTATATTCTTCTGGCATATATAGTTAAACCTTAAAGAAGTTTGGTTTTGTTTTATGCTTGTAATTTATAATAAAGGGTATTACAATATCTAATATATAATTAGTGAGTAATCTTTACTACTGACCTTTAAAAAAATCTAGTTTTTACCTTTAAAAAATTAAAATAAGTAAATTGTTTTACATTTGGTAAAAAATTAGTTAGTCAACAACAAGCCTTAATAAGATTTAAAGTTATTCCTGTAGATTTAAGTATTTAATTTTATATAAAATTTTGTGGTACTAAATTTAATACCTATATTTAGTAAAAAATTGATCTTTGATAAATTAAGGTTACTGCTTTAGGAGAGTTTGTGGAAAAACAAGCTAAAGAACTCAATTCCTCTGCCAAATTAGAGTTATGCGGTTCTTATCGCAGAGGCAAGAAATATTGCGGAGGTTCTTTTATTATGGTTTAAGTCACTTTTGCTCGTACAAAAAAAAATAACTGTTTGTCAGATGTAGACATCCTAATGGCCGTCCCCCACTACGAAACTAAAGAAGAATACACCGCGTTTTTCAAAAAGCTTATAAGTAAACTCGAGGATACAGGGTTTGTAAAGGACACACTTTCCATGTCGGACAGAGGAACGACGCAGCTTATGTACTTGGGCGTGTGTCGTGGGCCAAATTATAAGCACCACAGGTTTATTTAATTATTGTGATTTTATATGTTATAATGAAACGAAAAACGTTTTACAGGAGGATTGATATTGTAATGGTTCCTGCGAGTGAGTGGGCCTGTGCATTAATATACTTCACGGGGTCGGAGTTCTTCGGGAGATCCATGAGAAGTTTAGCTAAAAAGGAAAGTTCCAGTGCTTTTATTTTATTATATATACACAACTCCTTTTTATAAATATTATAACCATTAATAAAAAATAGAAAGGAATGTTATTAAGCCAACACTCTTTAAGAAAGGACGTACAACGTTATTATAAAAAAATTACTAATTCCGGTTTTTTATTATCATATTTATAATTTTAGCACTTCTTTTAAATTTTTTTATAGGAAAACGTCTAGACACGCCAACAGAAGAGAGCGTTTTTGAAGCTTTGGGAGTACCGTTTGTGGAACCTTCAAAAAGAGACGATTTGGATATTAATGCTGCTTTGCAATAATTCCTCACTAATGAATTTAATATTTCTGGAGTTCTTTAGTACTTGAAATAAAACTTTTAATTTTTTTTTAAAAAAAACGTTTTTGATTGTAGAAAGAAATTCTTTATTATGGTGACACCTTTGCGTATTTATTTTCTTTTGTTGTCGTTAGTAAAGAACAGTAAAAGGACTATAATTGCTTAAATTAATAATTGTTTTACTTAAAAATTTAATTCTTACTATAATATTTGTAACTAACTTTAAAAAAGTAAAGTGATATAATTTTCAATTACTTTTCTATAAAGCATGCCCTGCTTCAACTTTTTCTATAATCATTTTGGAAATATCTTGCAGTGATTCAATTTCATACTTGCAATTCATTTTTATCATCAATTCCAACTCCGATTTCCACTTCTGCTCTTTTTGGAAGTGTGGTCTCTTTAGCAGGGCGTCAATCTTATTATATAACGTTTTGAAATAGTTCGAAACTTAATTGGAATCTATATAAGTACTTTTTTAACGTCGGATTTCGAAAGTTGTAACAAGCCATCTTTTCTAAATTAATTTTTTTTTTTAATTTAAAATTTATTTAAATTTTGTTTATGTAAAATAAACCCTCTTATTTGGTAGTCGCTGTGGTGGCAACCGATCCACTTAAAAGCTATATGAGGAGTTTTCTTCTGCTCTATTTTTATTCGCTAAAATTATAGTTTAAAGCAAAATTCATTTTCTCTGCTATATAATAAACTCACCTTGGAGCCATATTTATAGATGGACAATATTTCGATCCCTATTAATAAGTAAAATAACTATAGAAATAATATCCGTGCTAGAAGCGCAGACCATGAGGGTCCCAATCAACAAGAACATATGCAGGTAACTTAAAAGAATCCCATAACAACTCTAGAAAGTTTATGGTCGCGCCATCGGGGTTGCCTTTTCCCTATAAAAGGAAAGCAAACTTAAAAAAGAAGCTTTTAAAAAATTTCTGTATTCAAGTCGCAACTGTTATAAGCAAACAGTTTTGAGACTGTGTAAATTGCTCGTTGAGTAAACTTGCAAAGATGGTGTACTTCTCAACAATTAGAATATATTTTGCAGTAGTTTGTACAGCAGAAATGGAAGATTTTAATACGGGAATATGCACGCCCTTTAATTATTTATCAACGCAGCTAATTATATTAATTTTTTCTTGCTAAGTAAAACATTTTCCTACTTGAGTAGATAAAGAGCAGATAACAAGTTGGTCGTTATCTTTAAAACTTAAATTACCAGCTACTACTCCTTTTGGAGAAGGAATCTAATCCAGAAAAAAAAAATGATTTGTAATTAGTCACTTTCATAAAAATGGTGCTTTCAATTAATTTTTATTTTATCTAAAAATAAATTTTAAAAATTTTAAGGATAGTTCAAAATTTAAAGGTATTAAATAAAGTAAATTATACTATTATATGTTAAACCTTTTATATAAAACCCTTAGAACCTGACAATATTTTAAAAATAAAGTGTAATGGACCTTACAAAAATTGATAAATGAATATAAAACCACACCACGTGGAGCTCTTGAGCAGCAACACCCAACGCGCTGGAAAGTTCACAAAGAACTTCCTGCACACATTGTTGAGTATGTAAATATTGAGGATCAGAATAATATAATCCTCTAAAGTCTGCATTATTATATAATATTTTAATATTCTCGAAGATACGCACTACCGTACGGTTAGGTACCCGCCTTGCTTTATCTACATTTAAAAAAATTTAAACGCATAGTTTTAATATACTAGTTAGAACAATTTTTCACAATAAAGGCAACCAAGTCATAGATTTTGGGCATTAGGTACATAATTCGCCCAAAAAGTTCGGTTTGTCTCAAGTCGAGGAAATTAATTTTTTTAGGCTGACGCTTATTTAAATAGCTTTATTTATAAAAAAATAAGTTCGTGAAAATTGACTATAATTGTGCCATGGAGGATAAATATTTAGCACCCACCCCTCAACCGGATCAAATCTCGAATACAAAAAAATAGCCATGAAAAATTGTGGGAGGGCGCGTATAAAGCTACATTAATAATACTTAGGCTCCGCCGGAGAAGTCGTGTTTATGCATATGTTTTTATTGGCCCCTATATTTTTCACTATCTTTTGGACAAGGGATTCAATTTCCCTTCGAACTGTAAGGAAAACAGTAATGTTTATTTCAAGCTATAGTTAATAAAAAAGACAGCGATACTAATAAAGTTAGGTAACCTTCCATAGAGGTTAGCCTAATTAAGTTTTAAATCTGGAATTAGATTGAAACAAAAAAGTAAAGAATATATCAAAAACGCGTTTTACCAATGTAATACTTGATTTAATAATAAACGACTCCTTAATAAGCACTTTTCTAAATAAATATATTAATAACTCACCGAAAGACTATTGTAAATTCATATTTATACGTAAAAAATGGCGCAAACACTGCTAAAGTAGGTTCATCTGGCGCCAAAAAGATTCTTCCAATTTTTGGTTGAAGTCAACAAAGTTAGGTTATAATTAATTGCGGAAAATAACAGTTTGAAAGTTGAATATTTTGCTTTTAGTCAGAAATTGCTTAAACCCAAAAAGCTTAATATGCCTTAATTTATTTATCTAAACCAGATTTAGAAGAAATTTAGTTGTTAACTCATATCGTTTTAAATTTTTTTTCCAGGTATAACAAATTTTATAGCATGTTTATTTACATGAAATTAAAGTTCAGTACTTTCTTCAATAAAGCAATAGTGTACTTACCAAGTTAATAAAAAAGTTTTTAACGACAAAGCTATTTTTTTAATTGAAAATGTTAGACGCCAAAAGTAAGTATTTAATTAATTTAAACTTGGTTAATTAGTTCATATATAAATTTTATTATAAAGAAAAAACAAAACAAGGAATTAAGTTTTAAATCGGTAATATTAAACTATGAAAAAAGGGCAATTGTTATCTATCAAAGCATTGTAGAAAGATAGTCTTTTTGGAAGATTTAATAATGCTCTTTTTGTATGCACGAAACACTTCGAACTTGTCTTCATTTTTTTTTAACAATTTAATAGTGTGTTTACCTAATCATTATGTTATTATTATAATTGGGTTATTTTATAAATCAATGATAATTTTGTAACTACTAAAAGATAATTGCATGAATAGCAATTTTCTTATTTACGACAAATTGCAAAGAATTTTTAATTAAGTGACCTTGGACCTCAAGCCTTACACAAACTTATAACTAATAATCAAAAGTAGACTACTGAAGAAGCAGCACTGTATAAGATGTGTATACAAAATTATGGTTGAGGCAATAATATTAATATTACTTGAAATTCTATTAAAAAAAATAAATAAAATACTACAATAAGGAGCTTTAGTTTTGCGCATAATAACAAAGTAAATTTACCAACTTGTCCCACGTGATAATTATAGTTATGAGACCCATATTACGACAAACAAAGATTACATATTTCGCGTCTAAAAGCATGCACTCTTACCATTGTATCAATAGCATTTTTCTAAAATTAGAGTTTTGAGGTTCTAATACAGTTAATATAATCTTGCCAACTACTTTAACAAGTAGTGAAAACGTACTTTCGCTGTCACTATTTAATAGCAATATAGCGATGATTATTTATTTTTATATAGGGGCCCACCAAGAAGCCCACCAAGAAAGGTCGTATTTGGTTAGGGGTACCTCATTCGGTCTATTAAAACTAGAGAAAAATATGAACTACGTTTATATATAGATATGTATACCTAAGACAAATTAATTTAATGAAAAAATGAAAAAGAATAACGAGAAAGAAAGATAACTTAATTAGATAAATTAATGCGGTCTGAAGTCCAATATATCAGATAATTTAAAATTCTAAATAGATCGTAAAACATTGTTTACATAAAGATTAATATAAATTATTGTTTTAATAAATATTCTTTGGATTTACTATGTACACTATTGTTACTGTCCATCAAGAGCGACGTTAGTACTGCGATAGGTGACCACGCTTGAATACCGCGCCCTCTTTATATTGCTGTTGCAAGAATTTGGTACTTTAAAAATCGACTATTAAAGTTGGGCACCACATGTTAAATTTTTTTTTTAGTTCCTTTAGTTATAATAAAGGTATGTATTAAGCAGAAATGGGACAAGGAAAGAACGTTATAAATCGATCTTAGGGGCTGTTAAGAATATTTAAATAAATTGTTAAATAACAGTTACGCTTGTAAAAAATTAGAGGGCAGAGAAATTAAGAGCACTGGACCTTTTATAGTACTTTTGCTCAGTAAGCGTTACAAGGAGAAATAATTTTTATAAATTTTATATAGTGTATTATTCTAATATTCAAACTGGAATTACACACAAGCTCCTTAAAGTCACTTTACGTAAAAAAAATTGATCTAACTGCTGTATTACATTCTTAATTAATTATGTAATTAGAAACATTTATTAATAATTCTTTTAAAAGAATAAAAGTAAAGACGAGATATAAATTTGTAAATCTGCAAAGTCTCGTTATTTTATAAACTGTTATTTGTTACCCCTTATTACATTTTCTCTTTTTAAATTTATATAGTGTCGCAGAGTTGAATATCTTCATTTTGTGAAACCACAAAACTGGTCGCTAACTCGTGTGCTAAGCTCGGACCGCTAGTGAGACAACGAATTATATTTAAAATCAAGGCTCAGTTGCAGGCTGTGGTAAAAGGAATGCAAGCGCAGGTTGTAGCTAAGCACTCGTCAAAAAGAAAGGAATCTCTAGACGAGGGTATTGTAAACTCTAAAAAAAATAAAAAGGCTAAACTTGTTATAGACAAGGGGCCTGTTTCTCAAAATTGGTTACAACTTTCTAAAGTAAGTTAAATTTATTTTCTCATTTCACAAGTTTTATTATTTTAAATAGTGGAATCCTGTTTGGCAGTTTAAACTATTTATATTTTACTCCCTTTTTATTTTTGCAGACTAAACTAAAATTAAAAAACCCTTTTATACTTTCAATTACTAAAAAAACGCCT